TAAATCTCTAGGACAAGCTTTTGTAGCTGAATCTAGCTCCGGGAAAGCTTCAGGCTTTAAGCGTAAGAAGAACTAGTTCAAAGGCGGGAAAGTAAAGGGAAAAAAAACTGGACAGGGACCTAAAAAGAACAAATACAAGCGCAATAAGAAAGGTAAATGGTTTGGAAAGAAGAAATATAAGAGCAAGTTGAAATGCTTTAACTGTTAAGTACTGGGTCACTTTGCTCGGGAATGCCCTGAGCTAAAGAAGGTAGCTCTTATAAATACTTCTTTTAGTGATGTTTATGTTTCAAGCACTGTTATGTTAACTGAGTCTTATCCTATGTGAATTGTAGACTCAAGAGCGATAAACCATGTAACCAGGGATCGAGAATCGTTTGTGGAGTTCCGTTGATTTTCAGCTAGTACAAAGTGGATATATGTCGGCAACGATGATAAAGTGAAGGTGAAAGTGATCGGTACATACAAGTTACGTTTGCGTGGTGACCGTACTATTCTCCTTCATGATGTCCTATTTGCACCAGGGATACGAATGAACTTAATTTCCATTGTTGCTCTTTTAAGATTAGGTCTCAGTTTGAACTTTTGTGGTAATTCTGTTTGTATAAACAATCGTGATGTATTTTATGGATCTGGACATGTAGAACGAGACTTTGTAGTGTTGGATTGTGATCCAAATACTTATAATTATTATGTTGATCGTTGTTTTTCTATGAATGTATCTTTTTCTTCTTCTAGAGATTTGGATGTTGATATATCTGTATGGCATGCTAGATTAGGACATATTGGACAAAAGAGAATGAATAGGTTGGCAAAAGAAAGGTTTCTAGGTTCAATCTCTAAGGTTTCATTACCTACTTGTGAACATTGCCTAATCGGGAAAAACAACACAAAAACCATTTGGTAAAGCTTTAAGAGCCGAACTTTCATTGCAGTTAGTCCATTCAGATATATGTGGCCCGATAAATGTGAGGGCAAGACATGGAGCCTCTTATTTCATTACTTTAATAGATGATTTTACACGGTATTGTTATGTCTATTTGATTTCTCATAAGTCAGAGGCATTGGAATGCTTTAGACGATATTTAAATATGGTCGAAAGTCAAATAGATAGAAAGGTGAAAGCCTTGAGAACTGACCAAGGGCATGAATATCTATCCAAAGAGTTCAGAAACCTATGTGATGATAAGGGAATCATTAGGCAATTAGCTATTCCCAATACACCTCAATAAAATGGTGTTGCTGAGAGGAGGAATAGAACGTTGCTAGAAATGGTGAGGTCCATGATGGCCTAGGTTAACTTACCTATTTCCTATTGGGGAGACGCTTTGTTAACTGCGACCTACATTCTGAATAGAGTTCCTTCTAAATCAATACCTACTACACCAATCAGCTTTGGATAGGTAGATCCCCTGATTTAAGTTCTCTTAGATCCTGAGGATCAGTTGCCTATATCCATGATTCCTCAAATAAGTTTGGAAAATTGGGTGCTTGAGGTAAGAAGTGTATTTTTATAAGATACTCAGACCAGTCTAAAGGATATGTGTTCATAGCTGAAAATCAAGCTGGGACTATAACTGAAATAGAGTCACGCGATGTGACATTTCTTGAGAGAGATTTTCCTAGTAGGGGAGAAATTAAAAATGGAAAACCTTTATATGAATTAGATGATAGAGTTGTACTTGATGGATCAACTAAGGTGCAAGAGGAAACACTTCCACCTGTCGATCCAAGTCGGAATAATTTATCTCCAACTCCAAGTGACAGGGTCACATCGGAGCTTTCACTTCGTAAGAGTACTAGAAAAAGTATGCCTAAACGTCATTTCAAGATTGAAGGGAAAGTTTTCCTAGTATCTCCTGCAAATAGTGAAGAACCAAGTTCAGTACAAGAAGCTCTATCATGTCCTGCAAAGGAAAAATGGAAGAATGCAATGGAAGAAGAGATGGAGTCTATGAAATCAAATCAGGTCTGGGACTTGGTTGATCTTCCATCTGGTCGAAAAGCCATTGGGAACAAATGTGTTCTCAAAATAAAGCGAAGAGTTGATGGGATTATAGAGAGGTATAAGACTCACTTGGTTGCAAAAGATTATACTCAACAGGAGGGTATAGATTATGAAGAGACCTTTTCGCCAGTAGTGAGATTTACTTCAATTCGCTTACTCTTAGCTATCGTGGCACGTTTAGATTTAGAATTACATCAAATGGACATGAAGACTGCATTTCTCAATGGAGAATTAGATGAAAAAATCTACATACAACAACCAGTAGATTTCATTAAAACAAGTCAAGAGAATAAAGTTTGTAAATTGAATAGATCAATCTATGGCCTAAAGCAGTCTTCTTGATAGTGGTACTTGAGATTTGACAGAGCAGTTATCTCGTCAACTTTGTCATGATGGATGAAGATCACTGTATTTATTTGAAAAGGTCCAACGAGAAATTTGTAATTTTATCTCTTTACGTAGATGATATCTTGTTGGCTGGGAATGATAAGGAGTATATTAAAACCATTAAGAAATGATTGTCCTCAGATTTTGAAATGAAGGATATGGGTGAAGTAGATTACATATTAGGTGTTAAAATCCATAGAGATCGTTCAAAGACGTTTCTTACTGTGTCACAAGAGCCATATATAAAGAAAATTCTTGAACGTTTCAAAATGGAGAATTGCAATCCCTTTGACACTCCTGTATCAAAAGGCGAAACCCTAAGTCTTCACATGTGTCCTAAAACTCTTGACGAAAAAGAAGAAATAGTGATATACTATTTGCTACGAATGATTAAATAATGTTGTCACCTGGTGGTATCCTTTACCATGCGCCAAGATGTAGAGGAACATTCCTACCTGCTTGTAGATATCCACCTGCTAGTTGCTGCATAAGTTGTATTCGTCACGGAGAATATGAGCGAAATGTCGCAAGATTGGCGGGTACATCTGGAATTATTGGTGACACATACGTCCATTCCCTTCTAATGCCTCCATCATAAATATTTGGCCATTCCTTGCGAATGAAAATTTGCGAATTCGCAGCCGCTGTCTATTTTAGTAGTTACGAGCGTCACTGTCAAATACTCTGAGTACTCCAGCCACATGTTGACATCCACAGCAAGGCCGTTGCAAATATCCTCCTCCACCTCGGAGTGCGAGAATAGGAAGCAATTAAAAACCATCACATCCATTCGCGGACGACTATGTTTAGAATATATTGTAGTAAAGTAACGTAAAACACCCTTGCTTCAACTCGTTATGCTCCTCCACTTGTGGAACAACGTATATGTAGAGGTATGATGAACTAGGCCATTATTGCATTTATGATTAATACGAATTGATAGTATGTCATTGTTAGGGATAGATTCATTATTGAGGTATAAGCATGATATGTACAGAGGAATGAATCTTACAAAATACATAAAATATCTAAGAAAGTGGGAAAGTAGGCACATGGGAAAACATGTTATTAAAAACAAACATAGTAGCACCAAATAAATGTATCCAACATTAGGCGACACGCAAACCTAGAGCATATCACGCTATGGGCAATAAAGGAAAAAAACCAACACAGTAAAAATATTACAACACGAACTCATGAAGCGTACAAAGGGTAACACAGAGTCGAACCAACGCATACCGAAACAAGCTAACTCAGTGATCTATTACGTTCGTTGAACTATCACTCGATCCATTTGAACTTCTCATTGGCATCTTGCATGACACTAAGCATGTCTCAAAATCCTTTTTACATTAGGAGAGTGCAAGCATAGAAGTACATTGGCATCCGTCGCTGTAACCAACAGGTCGAAAGCAATTCCTCCACACATGTAGCTCCGACATTGTCCATCTAATCAATGATACTGTTAATCTTCGCCGCCACATCCTAAATGGTACTATTCGTCCAATCGATCGAGAAGGACAGTTCACGAGCCGAAACATGCTTTTTCTTTCCACGCTACTTCGATGTCGAGGACTTCCTTTTATCGCCACTTTTGGGCCTCGACATGCTCATGCTTTTGCTACCGTTCCTGTCACCCTCATCACTTGAACCGCTGTCCTCGCCCTCGACAGGGATTGCATCTCTATGGTCTTCAAGAGTACTGTCCTCAAAACATTCGAAACCAGTTCTGCACAACTTTGTTAGGGTAACTGCGTACTTTTCGCTGTTGTAATTGTCCCCCAATAGCAGACGATATCGAATGTAAATGTCGCTCACATCTCAATCCTTGAAGTCCTTGTACTCCTACGATAAAATTGGGAAAAATAGTTAAATCAACATCGTACGAGGTGTGAACGGGACATAAAAAATGTACTCCAATATCCCATTCATAAAATTGCACCAACAATTTACCCCCAATGCCCTCCAATGCATGACAGCAAAAAATAGTTCAGTGAGAATAAGTGCTAAGGCAAGAAAAAAGGCAGTACAGCATGTGCACAATGAAATGGCTTCTGCTTATGTAAAACACACGACAGTAACATGTGGGCTGAAAAAACCACATTCCTAATTTACCTATGTGGTGCAGTGAGCAATTATGAAAATGTGCACAACGGATTCATTTTTTTCAAAACGTAAGTCGATAGTACGTAAACCATATCAAAGTACCCCCAACAAGTAAAGGCAGTATGCCATTTCAGATTAACGAAGCCGGTCAGACATGTAAAAACATTATTAATTGTCACCTCAAAATGGAAATCTTAGCAATGGAATTCCGATAATTGAATTATAGATTCACTGTATTCACCATTGGAGGACGAAGTCGTTACCTTAAATTTTTGTGACCACCACTCCTCGGAGGCAACAATTCTGCCAGTCAAATCATCGTATGCAACCCCGCTGCTATTAAGAAGCTCCAACAGACGTCTATGCTCTCGACGCATCGCGTCCCAATGGTTTCAAAGTTGTTGTTTAGTCCAACTATGCTCGGACACCGAGTTGAATAATACCACTACACGTTCCCAGTCGTGTTTTATGAAACACCACCCAGCGTGATGTCCTACGACAATGGCGGTCTCGTAGGCTGTAATAAAGGTCTGCCTTTCCACTGGATTCCATCGAGCATTGTTCCCAAAGCGCGCTGCCCTTAATTTAGCCACAGGGATATTGAAGTAAGAGGAGGATGATGATGAGGATTTACTCACTGATGGATCAAAATAGAATTTTGAACGAGACAAACAAAAGGGGGTCACGTCTTTATGTTTGCTGAGGACTTGTCGTTGGGCCGTAGGTTGTTGGATTAGTAGTCTATGGGCAGCAGGAAATGAAACAATTCTCATTGACCCCGACTGTTGGCCAATAGTGGCGGCCGTTGAGGAACTCACCAGGGAAACATCACCTGGCTGGGAAAGCAAGATGCATAATTACAAAGTATGAAGCTCGAATAGGAGAGTAAAGAACGAAAATGTAGAGGCGATGTCGAAACCTATATGTTTGAGGGCTCCATAGATAGCGGAGCAGGGTGTTCTCACGAGGCACGTTTTGATGCGATTGAAAGTTGAGAAAACCTATTCTCGTTCTTGGCAGTCGAAAGTTGATGGGCGAACTAATGAGATGTACCGAATTTAATTGGTCGAGATGCTGTGCAAACTTCTTCCAACGTCGAATCCCAGAAGCTTTATTCTCATCTGCAAACAAAATCGGACTGTCAAGGTCGTCGATTACTACTGCGTTGCGATGGAAATTGGTTATGAGTCTGAGATTATCACCTGCGGTGCCTGCGTCGTGCTTAAACGCTATTGGAGGTGACCCCTTCCCGTCCTTGAGAGCTCCTCGGTAATAATCTGCCAATCTGAAATGTAGGAGGTTGGGCGCTGTGTACAGTATGGCAACGTGCTTTGTCTGATACGCAAGAAGTCGTCAACGACGAGTATGCGAAATGGGCTGCTGTGGTACTTGGTGGTGTGGAGGTCTTGGTTCAATGGAAGAGATGCTGGAGTTTTGGGAGATCTGTGGGTTGGTGGTGGAGGACATTTGGGAAAACATGGGTATTAAATGCAATAAATAGCTTTGCAGTGACAGACGTCTTTGTCAGGATAATGTTTGAAATTCTTATTTTATTTTACACGAAATGGGAAACAAGCACACGCAAAATAGACACTTCTCTATCCCTTTCGTAATATGATGACAAGCCGACATTAATAGTAATAATATAATTTTATTAGACATCAATAGTAGTGATATAATTGATTAAGTGTTAAAAATGTCATTTTGTCCTTTTAAAAATTGATCAAATTGTACCTTTTGATCAACTGGCCAATTTTTGGATATAAAACTGTTGAAATGCGGAAGCGGAATTGTCCAAAAATTAAAAAAAAAATCTTTAATTCAATAAATAAGATTGTCTAGATGTTCACGTGTATGTTTCAAGAAAAAAAATGATTCGAATTTTTACCTAAATTTAATGAACAATTCTTAAATAAATTTTGAATGTGAACTTCCAACTTCTTGAATCATGAGCTGCTAGTTTTTTTAATTCCAAACTCTTTATTCTTCAAACCTCTAAGTCTTCTATAAAATTCTCTAAGGTCAAGACTAAACATGTGGATGGACACCTTTTTTTTAATTAAATTAAGAAATTGATTCTTGAATTGGACAATCGATAAAAGCAAGAATTTTTTTTCCTCTTTTTCCCTCTCTCCAAATTTGAACAATATGGAATTATGTATTATGATTGTTGTAGAATTTTTGCTCAATCGCATAGGATGTCTAGTTTCCATCTAATCTCTATTTACAGAGATATAATAGTTACAATCCTTGTACAATAATAATTTCATAATCAAATAAGAGTTCTAATTAAAATATAAGTAGGAGTTTTAATTAAAGTTCAAATCCAATTAGTATTTTAATTACATGTGTAGTCATAAAACTTCAATTACAATTATACTCAAGCTTATAACTTTCACAATAATTACAACTGAGTACAAAATTTTATTGTAATTATAATTAAGCCTAAAACTATTATAATTATCATAATTAAATTTCAATACTTTATGGAGCTACCACAGTGTATATTATCCAAGTTTCAATAATTAGATCCTATCTAGTCGACCCTATATTATCTAATCTAATTATTAGTGTTTGCTTTAAAGGCAAAAGACTGAAATCTTAGAATATAAGATCATAGACGCTAATAAATCTGTAATACTTTTCTCCGACTTGTCGTATATATGGTTTATATCCATCGATATCCGATAATTAGGTACGAGCATAAATAACAGTTTTACCTTTTTAATTATTCTCACTAGCTTACGTATCATTTCTTCAACGGTCATATGAACTAATTACCGATGTCGAAGTTTAGCCATCCCTAAACACTGAACTCAGATTTTAACCATTCAACAGAAAGTATTTAAGTAGTCACTCTACCCATTTTCAGAATAACGGTTCCCAACACGAATTTATACTATCTACTTCATTCATTCTCAAATTCTCGACTCATCGAGATATTCGACCAATCAAAATGATCTCACCCTTGATAAATCAAAGAATTATTAAAATCATGAACATAATCCTATCAAAAGGATTTAAATGAAATATACAACAGTCAAATAAAATTTAATACTTCGCACGGTCATGTTATAGAATTAAATTCGAAGAATTAAGTTCGACACATGGTTCATTCAATACACTTCAAGTGTACTAGTGTCATCTTTAACTATTTTTGTGATAAGGATAAATTACAAACCTGAATAACGAATCGATCAATACTATAACCTTTCAGTATTATGCGCCAATTTTTATACATTGGTTGTGAACAAATTATTTATGATCAAAATACAAGTTGTGTCACACTGTAATTCTCAACGTAAGTAACCAACTTATATTATCACAATTGATCGTAGGCACTTTAATTCACATGTTCAATAATAAATAAATGCAATAAATAAATAAAATCAAATTTTTTTATTATAAATTATTATTTTATCATGCAAAATATGCTATATGTGCACATACAACCCAACAAAAACATCTAGAGTTCCTTCCGTTACACAATTTTGAAAGATTTGTGACTGTCTGTTATGATTTTAAGGCTCAAATGTAATTTGTACTGTTTTGAAAAATTTGAAACCTACACCGAAATTTCCCTTTCGTCAATAATTCACAAAAAGACCAATATTCTGATTAATAAAAAATCTTTATCTACGTGTCATTATCGTATCCACGACCTACGCATTGTCTGGATTTGGCGTCTTAACTAATTTAGGTAAAATGATACCTTTCTTTTGTGTTAAGTTACTTACTCGATGGGTTTTTTTAAACATACAGTACAAGAATATTGAAATTAGGGTGTGTTTGATATGAGATATTTTTCATGGAAAATGAAATTTCATTTTTCAATTTTAAGGGTGTTTCGTGGTTTCTTTTTTCATGGAAATGAATTTCTTGGTTGTCTTGCCACATAGGATTTTTCTTGATTTTCACTGTAGCAAATTTTATTTTTTTAAGCAATGAAAATAAATTTTATCCCTAATTGTAAAAAAATATTGTCCTTTAATTGATAATTTTCATGTAAAACAAAGTCAAACAAGCACCAAAAAATAGATGATTTCCTTGAATTTTTTTTTTTGGCAATGGAAACAAATTTCATCCTCAATACTAGTAAAACATTTCCATTTAATTGACAATTTTCATATAAAATAAAGCCAAACGAACACAAAAAAAAAACACTTTTATTTCAACGAATTCCACTTGGAAAATTATACCAATCAAATACCATAATTTACAATTTTCAGGAAAACAATTTCTAGACAACTCAATTTCCTGAAATTCATTTTCTTTCCACCCAAATTTCATCTTCGCAATCAAACGGACCTAACTTAACTGAATATGTTAAGAAATAAAAATATGTTAAATTTTTGTTCATTGTAGTGTCTAAATTCCAATTATATTTAACAAGAATTACCCAACGCCCTCTCTATCCAAACAGTGTTAAGCCATATCATACATGCATGGCTGCCGAAAATGACAAGAATTTTTGGCATTTTGGCATCTGTTTGCGTAAATTAATAAGAAAGTTGAAAACTGGAGCAATTCCTCGTATCTTGTTGATAGAATCATTTTCCAAACTCAAATATTTTCCTTCTTCACTTCAAACTTCCCAAAATCTTTGGGAGCCAAAAGTAAATGTAATTGGACAAAGAGATTATTATTATTTATTTGTTTCATGAATATTTTATTTTATGTCAAATTTAGGGTTACCTCTAGATTAATCGTAATCGTTAGTTTATGGAAATCATTCTCATCTATTTTGTCTAAAATAGGGAGTGATTATCTAACCTAATTCTCCATTTATATACGAGTTATTCAGACATGATGAGGAATGCATGAATCCCTGAGTCACCAAGATATTATCTCATTATATTGTCCAATTATATTTACAATTTGTGCTTATTTAGTACACCATTCGTCGAAATGTCAAAATCATGTGTACACCTACAGTAACCGTTCCAATACTATAAATTCATCCGTTGAACCTTATGGTATTTTCATTCTGAAAATAGGATAAACTCAATTTATTATACATACTTTGTGACACTCTGAGCTCAACTATCGATAACTCTTTTCTTGCGAATGCATATGAATCCTATGGGAAAACAATATCACTTGTTATCTTTTTTCTTCTTTACTCCCTGATATTTGCTTCGATACTCTATGCCACAGCTCGATTGTTGTTGGACGAACCAAGCCGAGTTAATCGAATAGGCCTACCAGCAAAGTTAGTGATGACATTCGGGTCAAATCCGAATAAAGGAAAAATATTACAAGACTTGCATAAAACCATTGGTTGGATTAAGCACTCTGGATCTAGTCCTGGAGAGGGACACAAAATCATTCATGTAGCTAATCACCAGTGAATACCATTTGTTGTTGCGTGGGTTTGTTTTTCTTTCTAAAGGTTACGCAGAAATAAAAGTAAGGAAAATAAGTTGTTAGCAAGATATTTCTACACTACCACAAAAGAGAGAATGAGGGTTTACTGTTCATTTTTATCACACTCGTTTTCACACTCAACTGGTTTGAAAACTGGTTTGGCAACAGGAAAAATGTTATTCAAAAATACTGTAGGAATTTTGTCACACGCTATTGTCCATTGTAATACTTCTCCCTTGCTTTGAATCTGACACACCATACTCTTTCTCCTAATTCTCAGGCTGTTAACTATCAACCATATCTTATATATTTAAATTTTGAAAATTATATTAATAAACAAAATTATTGTAAATAAAATGTAAAAAATATATATATATATTCACTTCGTGTATGAAGAAAAAAATTACATTATACCACATAATTTTTCTTGAGCAAAATGATGTATTGAGAAAATTGTTGCGAAAAAATAATAAATAGTAATAAAATAATTGATTTTTTGAGAAAAACGATTTATACGCATTGTTTAACACATACGTTTAATATCCATTTAACTATTTTCGATATTAATTTACATCATTCAATGTGTCTATGATATATTTCTCGAAATGAGTTTCGAGAGAATCGACTATCATATAATGGTCGATGAATTTTTAGAGTTAGCTTGTTATCGAAAATTTCGAAATATAGTTTGAAAATGCCTATTTTAACGTCCTGTAACATTTGCTACGATTAGCCGTTTCACGCACCGTTAACGACATGCAATACTATGTCGCGAGTACTTCAATATGATATTAAGAATGTAATATTTCGACTTCGTTTGAGATCCCGTAATGAGCCTGAAAATGAACACAAAAACATAAGTTAAAAAAAAAGATGAAACATCTAGTAAACCTCCGTGCACCGACCAATGTTCGGACTAACGCACTTTTTTTTTTTTTTTACTTTTTTTTGTCGTAAATTTTTTTATTAATATTTAATTTTAAAAAAAATTAAATGTATCTAAATATTTACTTAAAAATGTTAAAGTTAATATTTTTTACCATAAATTAAAAAAAAACAAAAAGATAAAAGTTATTTCAGATCAGAGTTAAAAAAATTGTAATTGAAACTTCGATTTTTTTTAAAAATGTAATTGTAAAAGCTATTTATAAGTGTGAAATATGAACTTCGATTTTTAAGTATATATTTGTAAAATGTAAATAGTTACTTACGAGTAGAAAATTTGCTCCAAGTTACTTACAAGTATAAATTTTTTCATTTTTTTCTAAATTGCTCGATTAAAATGATTTCAATTTTAATTATTTGTATTTATTATATTTTTTTTACTTCTTTTCCGGTGGATTGGTAGAAATTGTATAGCTTCTTGTTAAAAAAAAAAAACTCAGAATGGTATTTTTGTCACGTACGTTTTCACATTGAACTGGTTTGAAAGGTTTGGTTCAAATGGTTTGTCTTTTTCATTTAATATAACATAATAAATAAAAGAAGATATAAAAATATATATAAAGTAATGTACTATCTATCACTTTCTCAAGTTATCCAGTCTCTTTCCTTCCTTCAATTGGATTAATTTGTCTCCAAAAAATTCAAGCTTTCGTCTACGAAAGAACTTTTCATATTTAAAACTTTCGATATTCTCCTTTCTTTCTGTACGAAAAAAATTCGTGTAGTCGTCATCTCGTTCTTGGAGAAGAAAATCATGGACTTTGTAACGATTCTATTTGGGTATGTCCTTGAAAATTTTAGTTTTTGTTTGTGTTTTTTATTTTTTATTTATTTATTTAACATATGTTGTTTTTTATTCTGTTTACAGATGAAAATTTAGCTTCCTCATATTTTTCTATGTAATGTGAGGTATGTTATTCTTTCTGTATATACATGAAAATCTAAATAAATTTTTCTTTATTTGTTGGATATAGCTATGAAGGTTTTATTTTTTTTCTTTTTTTTTCTTTCATATGTATTTATTTCTTACTATTTTTTTCATCTTTAAGTAATGTAACATGATTTTTTTGTTCTGTGTATACAACTTGGCTACGTCTTTCTTTCTTTACCGTTATTTACATGAGAAGTTTAAATTTTTCGATCATTTGTTGTTTATGTTTAATAAAGATTACAACAGTTTGGTATAGCAATGTTTGATTGTTATCGTCCAGTTAGTACGGTTTATAGTTCTTTTTTTACGTGCATTTTCGAAGAGGATTGTTGATTTACGGAATGTTTCCTAATATGTATCTGAGTTCAGTCCATTTAGTTTATACTGTGTTTAATGTAATATTATCATTATTTGTTGGTTTTTAATTAAATTCATAATTTCTTCTATTATTGAAATCAGAGGCCAGTTCATTGTTTTCATGGATTCTTTCGAAAAATCTATGAATGAAGAGTCTGGTCGTTTTGATCTATCATATAATGCTTTCATTCGACAACAACAAAATCGAAGGCAGGCAGATATGAGATATCGAAATGAAACTGTAAGTGTTAATCGTCGTAAAAGAATAAATGATCGTATATTATCTACAAATAATACTTCTGAAGTTGATTATGTGCATAAATATATAATACATTCTGAGGCATCTATTTCGAATGAAGAAATGATAAATATTTTTTATTCTGAATTACAGGGAAGCTCTAATTTGTTAAGTGTACCAACAACTGTATATGTATTACCAAGTTGTGCTTATTGTAAGCATTGTGGTGCACGCAAATTGTATAGAGAGACTAAAGGTTTTTGTTGTTCTGATGGAAAGGTGAAATTTTTTATGCCCGATTCACCGGATGAATTGTATACTTTATTTACGTCTAAAGAGCCTGTATTTATGGAATTTAAAAAATATGCACGTTCATATAATAACCACTTTGCGTTCACTTCATTTAGTGTAAAGTACGATAAAAAATTGTTTAAAGTATACAAAGATATCTACACATTTAGAGTTCAGGGACAAGTATATCATTATGTAAATCAACTTATGCCGGATAATAATACGCCTTGTTATATGCAATTATATTTTTATGATACAACTAATGAACTAGAAAACTGTATGAAAACTTCAGAACACTTGGTAGAATCTATTTTATTTCTTCTAATTGAAATCTTGAAGGTAAATCCGTATAGTAAATTTTTTAGGTCTTTAAGCAATATAACTGATCTGCATAAGCATAAAATTCAAAAAAGATGCCACCCAGAACTCCATCAGAGAGTCTTTAATACTCCGTCGGCATCTCAAGTAGCTGCTATATGGGTTGAGAATGATGAAAATGTAAATATTCGCGTTCGTGATATTACTATATATGGTCATTTTGGTGATTCGCATAGGGTTCATTATTATTATGGTTGTTATGATCCTCTACAATATCATTTGCTTTTTCCATTTGGTGAATGTGATTGGCATGAAGGCATTCTAAGATACAAACAAACATCTTCTCAAACTGCACAGTTTGTGAACTATGTTGCTGATCCTAATGTAATAAATTATGCGGCTCAAATTATTGAAAAAGAGGCTGCAGATTTGCTTATATACTTTCTTGTGTCTATTATAGTTCTACAAATGTGATATTGAAAATAAATTTAAAATTTTATTCATTCTCGCTTGTGTAGTGTTGAAGGATACGAAGAAGAAACGGTCTCAAGTATCATATCGTGAGTACTATTCATATAAGTTACAAATTAGGCCTTCTGATAAGTCTGTGTTGCTTCACTCTGGTAGACTTTTTCAACAATATGTTGTGAATATGTATGTTAAAATAGAGATATCCAGATTAGATTATTTTCGTAGTAATCGAAAACAAATTCGTGTTGAACTTTATCAAGGTATCATAGACAGTATACAAAATGGAGAAAAAAGAGGGTACAAAATTAGAAAGAAATTTGTTTTACTGCAATCCTTTATATGTGGACCTAGAGATATGCTAAGGAGATACTTAGTTGCTATAGCTCTTGTCCAACGTTATGGAAAATCAGATTTATTTATAACTATAACATGTAATCCAAATTGGCCAGAAATTAAGCAATAATTAAAACATAATGATGAGGTTCAAAATCGACCGGATCTTATTGTACGTATATCTAGAGTAAAATTAGAAGAACTTAAAAATGATTTATACAAGAGAAATATTATTGGTTCTGTTATAGCTCATATATACGTGATTGAATTTCAAAAATGAGGTCTCCCTCATGCACATCTGTTGTTGATTTTTAACTGTGGTCATAAAATTTCTTCTACTAAACAAGTTGATAAAATAGTATCTTGTGAAATTCCTAATAAAAATATACATTATTATCTTCATTCAGTTATTGTAAAGCACAATATGCATGGTCCTTATGGAAATCTAAATCCTAAAAACACATGCATAGAGAAAAATAGTTGTTGTAAAAATAAATATCCAAAGGATTATTGTAATATTACTATGTTTGGAGATAATTCGTACCCACTGTATAGGCGGCGTAATAATGGTATTTATGTTAAAGTGAGAGGAAAAATGTTAGACAATCAATGGGTTGTGCCATATAATCCTTATTTAAGTGCAAAATCCGACTGTCATATCAATGTTGAAGTGGCTTTGAGGGAGACGGAAGGAAGCCCTCCGTAAATCCAAGCCAGATGTTCTTCTATTAAAGTTGTTAAATATTTATACAAATATGTATACAAAGGATATGATCATATTAATTTTTTGATCGACAAAAATAACATAGACAAAGACATTGATGAAATTTCTACTTACAAATCTGCTAGATGGATATCTCCACCTAAAGCTATGTGGAGGATTTTTGCTTTCAATTTATCATAAATATATCCAACTGTTTGTGCTTTACAACTTCATATTGAAGATCATCAATGTGTAACTTACAAAAATATGGACAATTTATCTTCTGTTATTGAAAATGAAAATACGAAAAAAACTATGTTAACTGAATTTTTCTGAGTAAATAAAATAAATGAATTTACTTGAACGCTTTTGTATCGAGATTTCCCAACGCATTTTGTTTGGAATGCATCTAATAAAACATGGACACCTAGAAAGAAGCAAATTGTTGTACGACGAATTGTCTCGGCAAATCTATCTGAAGGAGAACGATATTTTCTTCGTCTTCTTCTTAATCATATTAGAGGTCCAACATCGTTTGATAATTTAAGGACTTTAAATGTTGGTACATTTCATGAAGCTGTGCTTCTCTATGGTTTATTAAATGGAGATATTCGTTATGATGAATTTTTTTCTGAAGCTATTATTTACGAAATGCCTTATTCTTTAAGACGTCTTTTTGCTACGCTTCTTACAATATGCAATCCAAATAATCCTAAGTTATTGTGGGATAAATTTAAGCCTTATATGACAAATGATTATGTAAATGAAAATATGCCCGCTAAAGTTGTCGAAGTACGAGCTTTAGAGGATATAAATTCTATTTTAGAATCACTTGGTAAAAATATAAACGATTATGGAATTGTGTCATTTAATATAAATATAGACGACGATGAAAGATTGATGAGAATGGTTGCAGAGGAAACAACCAAATTGGATATTGAAAGAAACTTTAGTTGTGCAACGACGTTAAATAAAGAACAACAATTTGCATATAATACAATTATGGAAAAAGTACAAGATGAATCAAGTGAAATTTTTTTATCGATGGTCCGGGTGGGACAGGAAAGACCTTTTTATATAGAGCACTCTTGGCTGGTGTCAGATGTCGACATTTAATAGCTTTAGCAACTACATCGATCAGAGTGGCTGCATCTTTATTGCCCGGAGGTCGAACTGCTCATTCAAGATTTAAAATCCCTCTAGAAATGGTAGGTGAAGTCAACTGCTCTATTAGCAAGCAATCGGCATTGGGAACTTTATTGAAAATGTGTAGGCTAATAATCTGGGATAAGGCACCTATGATAAATCGTTGTGTTGTAGAATCTGTAGACAAAATGCTTAGAGATATCACTGATTGTAACTTGCCTTTTTGTGAAAAAGTAATAATTTTAGGAGGAGATTTTAGACAGATTCTACCAGTTGTACCTAAGGAAAACAAAGCAGACATAATAAAGACTAGCATGATTTACTTGTATTTGCGACATTCTTTTGTACATTTAGCACTGGTTGAAAATATGAAAGCGAAGTCCAATCCCATTTTTTGTGAATACTTACTTCGAGTTGGAGGTAGAACAGAACAAAAACATACTTGCAACTGTATTAATCTACCAAATAGTATAGTTCTACCATTCGAAGATGAAATTATGTCTTTAAAAAAATTGATACAATGTGTGTTTCCCAATATAAACACATATGCCGATCATTTATATACGATGGTCAATCGTGTTATTCTTACGCCTACAAATGAATGTGTTGACTACATTAATGGACTTTTGCTTAAACAAATTCCTGGTTAAAGTTTCACGTACTATAGTTTTGATGAAGCAATTGAGAAATTAGAACAAAGCCTACAGGAAGACTTCTTGAATACTTTGACACCAAATAGTATTCCACCTCATGAGTTGAAACTGAAGATGAATTGTCCTATAATGTTATTACGAAATATCAATCCTTCCGAGGGGTTATGCAATGGAACACACCATACCTGTCGAAAATTTGAGAGAAATGTCATTCTTGCTGAAATCACAACTGGTGAATATCGTGGAAAACAAGTTTTCTTACCTAGGATCCCTTTTATACCTCTTAAAAGTGATCGAACTACAATTCCATTTAAAAGGACTCAATTCCCAATTAGACCATGTTTTGCAATGACAATAAATAAAGCACAGTGTCAGACACTTGATTTCGTGGGTTTGTACCTACCAAAACCAGTTTTCTACCATGGTCAATTATATATAGCATTGTTAAGAGCAAAAACAAGCAGCTTTATTAAAGTTCTACTCAAATCGTCCAATGAAAATCATACACACAACTCATGTACTAAAAATGTTGTGTACAAGGAGGTTCTTTCGTTCATACATTCATACAACTGCACCTCTTTATAGGTATATGTTCGATTTATTGGAATTTCTTTCTTTGTCCGTGATTTCTCTGTCGACTATGCTAAAAGAAATGCTTTTTTTTTCCAACTACAATGCAGATGTCAGATTATTTTAACTAAGTTGTATCCACTATCATTTTATGAAATTTCGCATTTTAATAAGTTTCAATATAATATTACGATTGTACAATTATTTTTTAATGACTCATAGTTTGTATATTGCAATGAGCATCGGTGAGACTTTATGTGAGACGACATAATATATCTTTAGTTGTGATGTGATTTAGGATGCCCAACAAACGACTGAAGCATTAATGGTTGATGAAGGGAGATTGAGGTCAATTTTTTAGCATAATTGGAGGCTAAAAAGGGTGTAAAAGCTGACCATTATTTGTTCCAATATTCATAAGGAATCGAATCCAAGAATTGAGCGTCGAAGAGTTAATAAAGTCGGCTACTTTTATGCTCCAACCAAAGAGTCCAGCATGTTAAAAATCACGAGCCAAGAATCAAGTTATAGGTTGAAGAGTAGAAGCCAAAATTTGAAAATTGATATTTGGGTTGAAGACCAATTGAACTAATTGCAACCAGCTGGGAAACAAAGGCAAACGAAGTGGAGGAACTTGGTTGCAGGAAATGGAATGAAGTCAATAAATGAAGACTGAAGTGAGACAGATCAACCTAAAGCAAACTACAAAATCTGGGCAGCTTGGGACAAGTTCAAGGGCCAAGTTAGAAGTTGGAAATGGAAGCTATAGCAAGCTGTAACAATGTGGATCAACATGGAATGGAGTAATACACCTTGGTTTGAACAAGAAATCGGATGGTTGTAGCTTACATGCATGCAACCGCAACGCATAACTACTCATGCAGTCGCACAGACGGTCACAGGGAGCTCAGCTGCAGGAATACACACAACCATGTGACCGCGTTAACATGTACCATGTGATCGCAATGCATCCGGAGCAGAATTTTTTCCAAAATTTCGACCACTCACCAAAGTGGATAGGAGTTTATTTGGCTGACAGTTTGTTGGGATCCCTTGGCATTTGTCCCTTTATTCAATTAAGTTTTTTTTAATATTCCTTTCTATATTTCATAATAGTTTTGGACGTATTTACTAGGTTTATATTTTTTATGATTTTAATTCCTTTTAAATTAGCTTTTATAATTTTAATACCTTTTAAATTAGTTTCCTAATTATTAATGTAACTAGGATTCTCTTCATTATTGTAAAATTAAAAGTTATTTAAATGTTGCTAAAATATATAAGTACGTAAATAAAGTAAATCCAATAAGATTAGATAGTAATAAATTAGATGGACATAAAATTTGTAGTAAAACATTATGATTGCATACAAAAATAACCAAAACGAAAAACAAGTTAAAATGAAAAAATCTCATAGTCTTGTCAAACTTTCATCACTGTGATTTTTTTGTACACTAAAAATTCTGGAGGTTCGTTGTTCAGTAGTTCAAATACGCATGTATCACCCATTTCTAATTCCTTCATGGAGAGAAAATGTGCTCATCCTATAGTGAGACATCGTACCACACCATTTGGCCTTAAATTTGTGGTGATATCCC